GTTTCTAAATTGAACAACTATTGGAGAAAATATGACAAAATAACCTAATCTGGTAAAATACATGTGTTTAAGTGGGAAATGCCACCAGATGACGTCTCGAGGCGGCACATTTTCTCACTTTTAAATCAATTTTTTCAAAATTCCCACGTCAGAAAGAAATTATGAAAAATACTGTGAGCTCAGCTCATTAGGTACTCTCAGATAGAGCAATAGAATTTTTGTGTGCAAATTCTCCGTCACGTGTTTTCTGTTCATAGACGACATACTGGAATAGATCAAGATAAAATGTCTTAAAAAAATGCAAAAAAAAAGAAAAAGAAATAAGAACAAAAAAATACGAGAAAAAAAGGAAGAAAGAAAATTGGGATTTTCTAAAAAATTAAATGAGCAGTAAAGAAACCTGAAAAATTTTGATGCCTTGCACTATACAGTGTGTTCTTCGCGATTCACGAATCCGCATAACAGTGGCGTGGCGTGATTTGATATATAATGATAATTCCCCATTTGAAGCTATGGTAAAGAATCGACTATTAAGGTGTTCGCTGCGAACGCCCTGTTTATCTATCCTTTTCCATAGGTTTAAATGGCATAACAATCGATTTATCGCAATTCACGCCACGCCACTGCCGCATAAACGCCTCGCGGGATCAGTGGGGATCTTTAGAGTTTAGTAAACGGATTCCAGGTCGATATTGCAATGGCGAGCGATGGTACATGATCCAGAATGAATCCCGTGTTTGTTTAACTGCTAATGGAAGCTCATAAACATGTCCCGACCAAGGAACCCGGGAGTTATGGAGCCCCGTCATAATTCCGCAATAATTGTACTTCGCGCGCACCGTGTCTCGCTCCTCGCTCGTGTCGAGTCGGTATTCGATTCATCGTTCATCGATAGTTTTCATGAGGAGCAATCGGATCAAAAGCGAGATACTGCTCTGAGTGGTCGCGGAATTGGTAACGGTGGGTATTTAACACGCCGCGGTTGCATTTTGATTTAATGTGCGACGCTCTTCCAACCGATGTTGCCTGTTCGCTTCGAGAAGAGACTCAAGATGGCGGTTGTTTTAATATGGCGTATTCATTTACGTAATTAAATTAAAGAAGTATACATACAAATAATCGGAGAAAAAAGATAGGAAAAAATGATACGTAGCTGAGTAGTGCATTTTGCATGTTATTTGTTTTTAACAACCCAAATGCGTTGTGATACTATGTTAGTTAAGTGAACTTTTTGTGAGTTTTTGTGATAAAAGTGCTGAGGATGGACTCGTATGGCCAGCAATGTATTCTCTAGACAATAATGAAAAAATCGTGTATTGTGCTCTTACACAAACGTATAAGGCAAGACTATTCATTTTATTAAAAAAATAATTCGGTATGCGAGAAAAGTGCGAAGAGAGAAATGCTCCTCAGAAAGAGTATAGGACATATTGGCATTGAGAATTTTGAAAAAAACCTGTACATGTTTAATGGTTCAAAAATTTTGACATATCAGTATGATAGTTAAGGATGCATATCCGCAGGTCGATTATTAAAATTGATGGACACAGCTATAGACAAAGAATACAAAAGGGATATGGAAAGATTCTATTGGTAGAAGTGGGTTGTTGCAATGGACAAAGGAGGTAGGTAAGACACTAACTAAAGGCAACCCGCGAGAGACCCCATTGTTAGTCCATTATTTTCTCCCTTAATCTATAAGAACCACCTATTTCGACCAATAGGATCGCTCCATACTTCATTTGTCTTCTTTGTCTATCGCTTTGTCTATCAATTTTAATAATCAGCCCGCTGATGGGGAGCTCACAAATGGCCACCGCTTTTGTTCCAAACTCCAAATTCCGAACAATTTCCCTGCGATTCATCAGTCTGTTCTTTGAAAATTTCACTTTTAAACGTCAAAATTAGTTTTCCCAAAAGAAAATAAAAAATCCAAACGAAGGACGACTCATTAAAGGAGGTTAAAGAAAACTGTATCTATCATGATAAAATATACCTAATTTTTAACGATATCGAGGTCCGGCAATGTTGCAATACATTTCAATTATGTATTTCTCGGAATATTGACAATGTTGCAATAAAAGTCAGTAATGGTTTACTTGGTCGGTCCAATAAGCAAAGCTAGAATTGAATTAAGGTGTACGAGTAACAATCAAAGAATCAAAGCTCAATGTGAAGTGTCGCATGCGACGGACGCTAAACGAATTTCATTACGACGCCTGGATGCAACTATTCGGGCTCTGTGGATGTCCGTGTTGCATACACACGGGAGCGAAGGCGTTTTGACTCTTCAAACACTAATCGCTGGCGTTCAGTGGAGCGAGTCAATGAGATGGAGCCCAAATAGTTGTACCCAGGAGTTAAAATAAATGGTCGCCGAATTCGACAGTAAGTAAGGGCGCTTTCCTTGTTTCTCTTGCACCGTAACTTGATTCAAGAGTTGCCAATTCTGTCGATGACGTGAGCCATTACTGGTTTTAATTACGACATTGTCTATGATCTGAATATAGCGTTGATTGTTCAAATGTATAATGCGTTTCCGTCCTATAATGTGGGCTGTGGCCCCTACCTTCTCCGTTCTGACGAATGCGGCAAAGTTGTTTCATGGTCAATTCAGGAAAAATTTAAGCGCTCATCTCAACATATTTGTATCTTTTCCGCTGACAAGATAGAGAGAAGTCCAGGTAGAAATGTAAGTCAACTTCCGTGAGGGGGTAATTTAGAGCCCCGTGAGGCAGACCTAAAGTTTGTCGAAAATATGTCTTACGATGCTGTTTTCGTCAGAATCATCGAATCGGGGCACCAATGGACTAAGTTCATAAAAACGAACCTTATTATTTTTGCCTCCCATAGTTGAGAGCCTGCACGCAAGAAACTTTTAAAAATCTTAGCGTTGAGGAACGGCTTTGTAACGTCTTAAACCTAAAATTTGCATATTCCATTGACACGAAAAGTTCCCAATTTGTTTTTTCGTAGTTTGAAAAGCTACTTTAACGAGATTTTCTTACCCTGTGGAGTAATTAAGACTTGGCCCTGGATCTCTTTGGAAGGAAAACCTTTCGCATTTTTGGTTCCGAAATATTTCTGTATTTCAAAGGTGTATCCGCACAGTGCGGATACGTGAAATTCCACAACCATCACCAAAGCCCGGGTTGCAGTCAACTGTGCGTTGAAGCTGCTTATCTAGGTCTGTATGAATTGCCTGATCGGAGATGACAGACCTAAAGCAAATGCGAATATTAGCATAGACCACCGTTAGACAAACCAGTGCCGCCATATTTTCCGCGGTGAATATTTGCGCTCACGTCCCGAAGTCCGGTTCAAAGCGTGAGGTCATGCAGTTAAAAAATAATTTACTGGCGATCATTATACAACTGTGAGGGAGAACTTAGTTCCGATCTTATGTACGAATCATACCGAAGCGCTTTTGGTTGATTTTTAGCAAACGGCACGATTCCATTTTCCGTCAAAATGAAAAGTGAAAACTGTGCTAGACGGCATCGCCAGATTTCTTAAGGTTTTTCATAGTTGTCAACTCGTCATTGTAGTAAATTCTAGACTGATATGTGTCATTCTAGAAAATATTACCTGATTGAATGACGAATTTTCGCCACAAATCTTGCTAGCTATAAAAAGACTGCATTCTTAACCTGAAATTTTAGGGTAAAAAAAGCTCTAAGAAATTTATCCCGGCAAATTTCATATGATTGGTTTGTATTTTCTTTTTCCTGTTTAAATTAGGCCGCAAACATTTACTTTGTTCCTTAATATTATTTTCAACGTTGAAAATTGCTTTATATTTGAAAACATGCGGTGTACGAATTAGGATTTAGAAAGTTGTGAAAATATTGAACTTAGTTCAAATAGAGACGGGCCAAGGACTTTTTCCAAAGCCGGAGAAATTCAATTAAACCAAGGAATGAGTGAAGAAATAGCCACCGTATTTTATTCTATGCTGCATCAGATGACGATTCAAGTGCAAAATAGTTATAAAAAAAAAAAAAAAAAAGGAGCATGGATACATAATGGAATGCATCTTCATATTATAATCATTTATTAAAAGACACCTGCTTGCGTCAGGAAATAAATTGTATTCATGTTCTGTATTAAGCTGCAAAGATTGCTGTCTTTGTAGATAAACTTCATCCAGCTCATTGGCATTCATTTTTGTAGGTTTTACTCATTTTCTGTCTCCACATAGGGAAAGCTGTAATGTTCGATCGCATGCTAGGCAAAATTTAAAGCTGTAATCTTAGCGAAGTATGACTTTGTTTATTTTTCTCCCTCTTTTTGACTGTGTGGCTAAGAGCAGTTATAGGAACTTAAATAGAAAAAAAGTTTTTCTTTCATTTTGATAAGGTTGTAGAGTTCTATGGACACCATTTAATTTGCAATAGAGAAGTGTCCGCTGAGTTATGCATTAGTTTGTCATTTCAAAGAAAATTGAACTACATTTTGCAATTTGGAGCTATAGATTCTAGTCCGGTTTAAAAACAACGTATGTGCCATTAGTTTCCCTATGCACATAAGTGTTTTTCCAGAAGAGCCAGAATTTATAGTTTCAAATTGCAAAATGCAGTCCAATTGATATCTCTTCTTTTTATTTTGCCGCGATAAGAAAAAATGTTCTATGACCGTTCGGACGTTGCCAAATGACTTTACTAAAAAATCTATTTCCTCGGAACGTCATGAGTATTATTTCTTGAAATTTTCAGATACTTTCGATTAAAGTGCGAACGAGGGGCTCCAAAAAATCGGGAAAGAAATATTCACCAGTTCCTTCTGGAATTCATATTTTGTAAAAGGCAATTTGGCAACGTCTGGTGGCTCATCCGACATTCTTCCTCAACAAGACTGTAATCCCCTGCAACCCTCATCTGCCATTGAGAGGAAATACAATTTTTCCTGCAGTGCGGCAACTCCGTCGTGGGAACTTTCAATCGAGATGATCTAGGTCTGGTCCGCCGACAGCTTCCGAGGATCAGCCTCTTCGCCGCTGATTTGTATAATATTTACTTTCCGATCAGTTCCGCTTGGGCTCACTGGTTACTTGCTTTTGAGTTCCTGGTGACATTCAAAAGTTTTGTTTTATTTTTTCCCAATTCTATAGCATTTTCCCGCTTTTGGGAGCTGTTCCGAAAATCAGGATTAATATGTCATAGTTCGAGGACTTGGAAAGCTTAGATTTGATACCGTGCACTCGGGAGTGAAAGCTGCAAAACTTTAAAACGGATCCAGGCCGCACACGGTGCAAATTGAGTGGTGTGTGGTTCTAGTGAAAGACGCGGTTTTTGATGCTTTGAAAGATAAAAACTCACTGCCGACAGGATATCCTGCACGAGGTTCCCTCCAACATCGGTAAGTTCCTGTTATACTTGATGGCTTAATTTAGTCTTATAATCCTGCTCGCACTAAAAAATACTGAAACGGCGGGGGAAGAAATACATGAAGGGAACTGAAATGAACTTGAGAGTGAGTTGAATTTTGAAAAACTTGTTGAATTTCTATCCCTTGCTATAATAACGACTTATTATAGGGGTAGGTTCAATTTTAGCAATGGCCTAATAGGTGACCGCCTAGGGGCGCAAGCTGCTGGCGCCCTGCGTTCCTGGATTTAAACAGCCGGTTAAAAAGTTGTAAAAAGAAACAATATAAAATCGTAGGGTTCAGTGATATCGATAAATGGGTATTATCGACAAAAAGGGCAAACCAAATGGATCACATTTAGCAAGAAGGAACCAGCGCGATTACAGTGTTCTCAAACTCGTACAATTTCTTATTTTCTTTTGAAAATATTTGAAATATGTACAGTGTTAAAATTTACATAGTTATTTTCATTTAAAATTAACAATTTTTTCGATGGGAAGCAAAAACAATTTGCTACTTGGGGAGATTTCTTAGATAATTCTGAAGAAGCAACTTTTTTACAACACTATAACTGCGCTGGTTCCTCTCTGCCAAATGCAATCCAAATGGAGGAAGTTGAAAATAGGTTTGAGTCAAAAATAGCAGCAGAATGCGATTTGGGCATGCTAAATTTTCAAAATTTTCCGGGGAGCCCGGTCCCCTATACCCCTCAATCACAACGTACATCATAGGCGACGCATGACATTTGATCCGGACGCCGAGTATACCAAGGCCGGCCCTGGACAGGGGCGTTTCACCATCAGGAACTTAGAGAGTCTAGGATCTAGGGTCTAGGTTAAAGTGTGGTGGGAGGCGAATAGGGCACTTGACATGGTGGGAGGGAGGGGTTCAAGGAAAAATCGTTCGTTTTTTTAAGACAGTAATCATACTTTAACGGCTGTAGATCTATCATGCATTTTCAGCGGGGAAGAAAAATTTAAAAAAAAATTTTAAAATCTCAAAAAGAGTAGGTAATTGCAGGGAAAAATCGGAAAATTGAAAAAATATCACCATGCATTGATATAATGACCGCTTGTTCTTGCAGCTTGATTATGCCCCATTTTCATGTGCCAAAATACAAAGTCGACGTCTCATCCGTAGCTGATTTTCTTGACGAACACAAGAGTGGCCAGGCGTTTTCATATCCATTGTAAGTATAAAGCCCTCCAATAAAACGCTGTGTTAAATCATAACGCAATTAATATTATCTGTTACCAACTTTATACAACTGAATTTGGTACCAATCGTCCCAACCGATCAAATTTTGAAATACGTACTCAATCATCTGTTGTTAAGTCTAATACAGAATTCAGGCTTAATGTGATTCGATGGACGCCATATCTTGTGTCAGGACGGTATGCGATATATCGCATCGATTGGTTCCATTTTTTCAGCTAATTGTCATTTTTCTCCAATTTTGAGGTCGCAATTCTGTTGTCAGGAGACCAAAGCACTCACCAATTTTAACAAAGAAATTCAACGTAATAAAGGCGTGGTTTTTTCAGAGAGGAAATATCGCATTCGGGTGCAGTTCCGACATCAGTATCGAATGCGATGTTTGCTCTCTGAAAAAACCACGCCTTTATTACGTTGAATTTCTTTGTTAAAATTGGGAAATGAGTGCTTTAGTCTCCTGACAATAGAATTGCGATCTCAAAATTAGAAAAAAATGACGAGTAGCTGAAAAAAATGGAACCAATTGATGCGATATATCGCATGCCGTTCTGACACAAAATATGGCGTCCATCGAATCACCTTAAAAGCCTGAGGAGGGCACAGGAGGAAACAGGTATTAAAATCTAGAAAATCTGCGAAAAGGTTCTCATGTTCCAACGGAACTTCTTGCACCTGATTCCTCAACTATAATCTTAAGCGGTGCAGCATTGAAATGTAGTTTCCACCGAAATCTTTATTCGCTGCAACACAACGGGTCTAAATTACTTTTTTAATTAGAAAATCTTACTTATTTCATGCAGGGTTTTCTCGCAAAAACGTATCGGTGATTTGAATGTATATTTTCAGGAAGGATAAGCATGATGAGCGGCACGTTCAACCGAGGACAGGCACAATGTCTCCCTTATCGTCTGTGACTTTCTTCACACTTATGCTGGCACTTCATGTTTTACAAGTAAGACTACCTCACGGCATCTCACACTAATTTCGCAAAAGCCATTTCACAGCATGGTGTCTAAAACGGGAAACCCGGGATTCACCAGGAAATGAAAATTTACAGGGAAAATTAGGGAATAATCAGGGAATGTATCCCAGAAACCGGGAATCTCTACCGCTTAGGGATCATTCCGCCTTCAAATTTGGCGGTCTAATCTGAACGAGTGCTATTATTGACTGCTTGAATTACTCATTTGAAGCTTCAAATCATCAAAAGAATAAAGAAGCTTTCATTGACCAGATAATATAGACATCAGGAACGCTATCGGAATTAAAATTTTGAATGAGCGCCGAAGAAATGGCTGAAAGATGAATTAAAATTGATATTCATACATGGATTTCTGGAGAATCATATTCTTTTCGCCCAGAAAATCCCGGAGAAGTGGGAGAAAACTTCGGTTTCTCATCAGGGAATGAGCTCCTGAAAATCAGAGAAAATCACGGGATAATCAGGGGAAATCACGGGGAAATCACGGGAAAATCAGGGAATGTGCTTAGTCAAAACTTTTAGACACCCTGTTCACAGAGAACGAACACAGTAGATATGATTTTGAAAAAGAAAATGAAATTATAAAAGAAGAAGAAGAAAAGAACCTGCTTTAATATTTTTTGTAAGAAAATCAATACGGTAGTGCATCGTTCAGAACGATACCAGCAACCGAAATGCAGTCATTCGTCAGAAAGAAAGCAAAAAAAAAAAAAAAACTGCATAAATTTGAAAACTTCTTGATTGAGCTATATCCTTCGGTTTATAGGCGACTAATAATTTATTACTCGCTTTGCGTTCTTCTCCGGTGAATTTTAATTCAATATATTTTCAAGTGGCTGAAGAGGGGCATTCATGGATTTTTGATGGAGCATCTTGCCAAACATATGTATCGAATTCTCCAGTGATTTTCCAGTCGCCTGATTTTATTATTGGGAAGCAATTGGAAAATGATGGTGGGAAAACTCCTGGCATCGATATGCATCATCTCTTTTCCTCATAAGAAACTGGTTTTGTTTCCAATTCGAGTCGATTCGAGACTTGCTGTAATGAACGGCAAACGTTTCCCAACGTCTATTTTTTTCCGCATTTAAGCACCACAGCAAACTCGGAGGAGACGAAACTGTTTCTCCCAAGAAGATTGTGAGATAAACATACCTTCCATTAACACTCTCCGCCATGGCGAAGAACAAATTGCGCCTCGTAGTCGGATGACCAACATTTGGCCTGCGGAGCGCCTTCAATTTCAAGGAATGCAACATAACATACACTGACTGGAAGCTGCGACTCTGATTGCACACCGCTAGATGGCGTTCATACTCTAGTTACGCCGAACAGTTCAAGAAGTCTCCTGCGAGCCAATAAATATCGCGAAAAACCTTATGATGAAGCCCGATGGGTCGTGCAGATGGTTCCTGATAAAGGCGCGCACATTGTAGAGGAGAAATATTAAGGCGTAGAAATTGGGCGTTGACCAAGAGCCGCACCGCGGTTATTTGGTTGTAGGTCGATCTTGGTGGGTCGGAATAATCGAACCGATTAGGCCGGGGATCTACCCAGTCTCTTACCCATTCAAGAGGGAACCATCCGCCTCTACCGTTCCGGGCTTCCGACGCGGCAGTGAGTGAGTGGCATGACCGTCAGCACCGCGACCGTCACGCTTCGTCTACAGGCTCCATCCGGAGGAGGACGTGTAGACTGCAGTTGCCGGCCGGTTGCTGCGTCATTGTCCTCCAGGACTCGTTCGCTGGTGAAAGCTCCGCAACTGGTTGAGGGTGATGTGTACTTGCCTTGAGTAAGTGCGGCACATGGACTGGACCGATGATCTCCCACCAACATATCTACAATTTCCTTTCCTTCCCCCCTGAATCAAGGCAACTCGTCGCATCGAACTGTAGAGGACCGCAGTCAATTAAAGTGTGAAATAAGTTGTTTGAAACGGGAAGATTGTATTCGACTCAAACATGTCCTCCGTAAAATTATCCATAATCCGCGAAAATACTCATGGTAATTGTTCAGCTGATAAAAAATCAACGAAAGTTGCCTTAACCCATGTAAAGAAGAAGTTATTTTTTCCATGAAAAGGCAGCAGTACGCCGATGTTATCTCTGGTAATGTCATGATTTGTGATTAAGTCCCAGCCAACAAATATTTTTCCCACTAAATTCAGCGGGCGGAACTAAAAGTACTCTAGGCGGAACTACGCAGTCACGTAAAATTCACTCGTCTTGAAATTCAGTCGTTTTCTGACACATACATTCTCAAGAAAATTTAGTTTTTTTTCTGCCTTGATATCCTAATTTTTTTAAATATAATTAAGTATTCATAAAAT